CAGAACAGGCCGACTGAGGAAGTCCACTGCTGAGGGGAGCAGCGGGTGGGTCAGGAGAGGTCTGCCGCGCCATGTGGGTCACCTCCCTGGCTGGGGATCAAACTTGTGCCTTGTGCCGAAGCGAAGCAGCTGTTGGTAACTTCACAGTGTTGTACTTTAACCCACCAGGGAGGGTTGTACTTTGCACCACCAGGGAGGGCCCAGAAGATGTAATTATTCTTGCTGGAGGGGGGAAGTTTCAAGTTCTAAGTTGTCCCTAAAGATATTTTGATGCTAAGGCCTCCCTGGTGGTACAGGGGTTAAACTCAGCAGTCTCAGTGAAGAGAACACACACAGGCCCCTCATAAAACCAACACAAGGAAGCCCCAGGAACCTCTGCTGAGATAGCAGAATCAGAGATAAAGCTGACTACAGTAAACAAGTCCAGCAGGCCTAAGAGACCTCCTCTCATCCCCCAGAAATTCCAGTGATAGCCTAACCCTTTATATAAAGACTTTTGGCCTGCAGAGTCCTCACCTCACGGACTTTCAATAAATCTGCTTCCATCTAATGATCTTGGCCTCCTCTTTTCTTTTAAAGATTTATTTATTTATGTAAGCAAGAACTGGGGAACAGACCAGAGTGGGGAGTGGGGGATGGGGGTGAGAGGATTCACCAGAGACAGAGTGGGGAGCAGAACAGGCCGACTGATGAAGTACGCTGCTGAGGGGAGCAGTGGGCGGATCAGGAGAGGTCGGCTGGACGTGTGGGTCAGCTCCCTGGTGGGGATCAAGCGCATGCTGCAGGGGCTGCGGACAGCTTCACAGTGCTGAGATGTAACCCCTGAGCCACGAGGGAGGGCCCCTCCCCTCTTCTCTAGCCATCATCACGTGGCCTGAGCTGGATCCCCAGCCACGGGCTGACCTACATAGGGTTTGAATCTTCTCTTTGATTATCTAGTAAGCTCTGTCTGTGACTGAGGCTTCACTTTCCTAAGGAAAAGAATGAGATCATGAACTCAAACACTCCCGCTGCCGGCGGTGTGAGGCCAGCTGCACCCACGAGCTCTCCAGTGGCATATTGAACCCCGGGCAGACCCATCACCGCGGCATCACCAGGTCCCCCCACTTGATAATGAGCTGGAAACACACACCCTGACCTTGCAGGACTCACGGTTTAGTGGGAAGGACAGATATTAAGCAAACGTACATTGTGTCATGACTGGCTAAGCGCTACTACAAAGTGAAGTAGCCTTTTGAGGATTAGCCACATCAGAGTCAAGGGCTTTCCGGGCATAATTAAGAGGTCACTGTGGGGAGGGGATGCCAGGCAGGAAAAACGGAAACCGAGAGCCTCCGCTAGCAGCATTTGACCTGCAAGTGGACTGAGAAGAGAAGCAGGGGGTGAAATGAGCGACTGTTGACTCTGAAGTTGCAGAACGAGCTGTGTGAACTTGCGTTTATCATTCTAAAGTGGCTCCTTTGCCCCCTGGGGCCACCCCCTCTTATTCAGAGCTCCAGGTCTTCTAACTGGGGCGATCTGAGGGAGCAAGAGGACTGCGGGGTGCTGTGAGCCTGGCACGGTTACCTCCCTGGAGTGTGAGCGCTGAGTCGGAGAGACCACTGCTCACCCCCGGTCAGGGTGCCCCGCCGGGGGTCGCCTTGCTCCGACATTCGTGGGGCAAACCTGAAAAGTCAGTTGATGGGATGGTTAATTTTATGTGTTAACTTGACTGGACCGTGGGTGTCCAGATATTTGACTAACTGTGGTATTCTGGTTGCTGGGTGCCCCTGGGGGTGTTTCTGAATTAACTTAGCATCTCTATGGTCCCCTGCAGGGACTTGGGGGAGAAGGGCTGACTAGAACAAAAGGCAGAGGAAGAACTTGTGACCTGCCAGACTGAGCCGACCTGCCAGACTCAGCTGCAGCTCAGAACAGTCCCCTTCTGAGCTGCAGCTGAGACACCACTCACTGATTCCGCAACCACACAGCTCTCGTTCTGGGCTTCCAGCTCGCAGACAGCAGACGGTGGGGCATCTCAGCCTCTGTTTCACATACATATGTACATGTATATATCAGGAGAACCCTAGTACGTCATGGAACTTTACAATATGTATATATACACACGCTCGCATGTGTAGGCTATAGGCAGGTAGACTATGTTGGTCTGTTTCTCTGGTGAATGGTGGTAAATGGAACTACACGGTGTAGGGTAAGTGTATTGATCAGGCGTTTTGGTTTTTGTTTTTTAAGATGTATTCATGCATACAAGAGCTGGGGTACAGGCCAGAGGTGCAGGGGGTGAGAGGATTCACGAGAGTAGAGAACAGGCAGATCGACTGACATACACTGCTGAGGGGAGCAGCGGGCGCGACCGGAGAGGTCTGCAGCGCCCAGTGGGTCACCTCAGGCCGGGGATCTAGCTTGTGCTGCAGGGGCTGCAGAGCCTCCAGAGGGCTGCGCTTCCACCCCCCCGTGCCAGCAGGGAGGCCCAATCAGGCACTTTCCCCCACTAGCATCCGTGGCTATCACCTGAGGCCTTGAGAATGTTGATGCAGAAGGCACCTGGGAGCTCGGGCGCAGGGCCCGTGGGCCTGATGGTGGGCACCTGGGGCTCGGTTGTGTCCGCATGCGTATGTCTGCAGGCTGCGCCGCGAGGCAGGGATCTAAGGGCAGCCGGGCAACGGGAAGAGAGGGGAGGCCTCCGGAGAACACCAGAGAAGCCCGGAGAACGAGAGTTAAGGTTCATGGAGGGCTGGGAGGCTCTGTTGCCTGCCTGCCTGCCTGCCTGCCTGCCTGCCTCCCACCCTCTCAGCCTGTGCCAGCCTCCACGCCTGTTCCCTGAGAGCATTGAAGCCAGAACAATCCACCAAGGGACTTTCCTATCCATCTGCCTGACTTGAGAGTGACCCTGCCCTGCGCCCGCTGGCACTAGATTGGGTAAGCTGCAAGTAGAAGAGGGAAACCAGGAGGCTGGACACAGTGGAGGGCAACAGTCGCGAACCACAGGCTCTATGCAGGAAGAGGGATGGCGATGGCGGAGAGGCCCAGGTGGAGGGAGCTGGGGCCGAGCTGCTAAGCAGAACAGCCTCCGTTGCTGCCAGTCACTGGGCGAAGCCCAGAGAGAATGGGGTGGGAATCCTCCTGGGGTGTGACTTCTCTGAACTCACAAGACCTAAGCTAGCAGTTGGGAGGGGTGTGGCCAGAGCCAGTCAAATCATCTGGCAGGACAAAAACGGTGATGCTGACACCCGGGCACCTTCACCATGAGCCTGGGGTCCGGGTGGGAGGCAGCACTGGGGTCCTGGGACGATCCTGTTAAGGGGCTCTGGTCTGAGGAGGCAAGGCTGTGCCACTTGTAGGGTCCCACCCTCCCCAGAGGTCATGTGGTGGTTAGCATGGAGCACACTCCCAGGCGACACGGGGCACCAGTACAGCTTTAAAAGCCAAATGCTGCCCCAGACCAAGCTTGTATGTGGCAGCTGCTTCAGGGGGCTGACTGGGGGTAGCCTTGCTGGCTTGCAGGGACCTCACTGGTTGGCTTTCCGTACCCCAAGTTCCCCAGACCACTCATCTGCCGTGGGGCTGGGCTAGGTCACAGCCAAGGTCCGGTCACCACTTGGACTGCTCTCAACGATCATCTGCTCCACCAGGGTCCCTTAGGGGAACTGGGAAAACTGCAGCTGCCTGGGACGGATGATGAGAAATGGGGTTCCCAGGTAAGAGAGCTGCTCCAGGAGAGGGGCCAGGCCTCTCCTGCGCTTAACTCACCATGCTTGATGAGCAACTTCCAGGGGGAGAACCAGGGGGAGGCCAGATGGGCCTCGGCCTTGGCCTCTGGGTCCCACTCACTTTTGGAATGACGCTGTGAAGGTGGATCCTCTGTCCTTGGCTGTGGGCTCCTGTTCTACGCACAGCAGGGCCTGCGCCCTTTGTGATGGGCCGCAAGCCAAGCTCACTTCTTTGTTCTCCTGTTCATCTAGGATCAGCTGGGGGCTATGAGGTGTTGTAAAGCTGGAGAATGACTAACCTCTACTGGCAGGATCTCTGGTCAGGTCCCATCTCAGTAGCACCAGAGATGCACCAGGACCAGGCCTGATCCCAGTGCAGGAATAACTAATTGGTGAGAGAGATTCATATTGTACTTATTCTCTTATAACCTGCAGAGCAAGACATATTTAAATAGGAGTAAAAACCACCTGTAAGTTGCTCTTTAGAATTGGCTTTATTTAAATTTTACAGAAACCTGATTAGATAGTATGTAATCATAAGTCCAGTAACAAGTCTACAAAAAATGCACATACAATGCCAGAATTCCTTAAAAGCAACTAGTTTTGTTTTGCATAAAACATGCATTAATATCGACTGCCACACATTGGCCAAAATCAGTCTCTACAAGAAGAGATGGTCTAACACAATCAATAAGAAAATGTGTTGTGAACAATAGGTTAAAAAAAGAGGTTTCCTGGTTAACGTGAAAGAAGGAACAGTGCCTTTCATAAAACAAGCCCTTCGGCACAGGGTGCTGAGTGCCTGCAGAGTAATGCCTCCCCTCTGGGGCTGGGTCCTGACCTACCACAAGAAGTAAGGAACTTCCTGGTAGTTTCAGGCCTAAGTTCTCTCCTGAGGCCTGCTCAACCCTGCAGAAGGGGCTAGAGAACCTTGGCTTTGAGACTTCCCAGCAGGGGAAGGTAAACAGCCCTGATGGTGCCTGGGCTTTCTACCTTCCTCTCCAAGGCCTGCTGGGAGAACAAGGCCTTTCCTGCAGCCAAAGCCTTCCAGCTCCACACAGCACTCTTCGCCAGGGTCTGTAATTAAGTTAATGCAGAAAAACAAGAGTTGAACCACTTCTTGAAGGCCTTGACCTCTGCAGGCCTAGAGCGTCACATCCAGGGTTGGGGGCTCTGGTACACGGGTGTGCTGGACATGACGCATCCGGAATGTTAATAAACACTGTGGTCCCAAAGCCTCAAACGCTTAGTCACATGCCTCAGTTAGCCTGTAAAGAAAGCACTCGCTCTGAAAGAGAAAGAGTGATGAGGGCTCTGTGTTGATTAAAGGGCGCTCCACACAGACTGAGGGGCTTTCAAGGTGTCTCACCCACCGAAAGGATGTCCCTTGAAAATGGGGTTTTATACAACATTCCATGAGGTTCTTCAAAAGACAACTCATAGTCATTAGGGAACAGTGGTGGATACTGGGGTTTATGTACATAAAGCTCGTCAATCGTGCAGTTGGGCCTTGTTGGGAATTTCTTCCACAGTCTGCCTCTTCCAAATCAGGGCACCTGTGCCCTGTTCACCCCAAATAAGCCAAGTCAGGAACTTCTTTCTTCAGCATAGTTAAGGGGGGGAAATAATTTATTGAGTTCTAATAACAATTTTATAACAGAACAATATCAAAATAGGCCCATTTTAAATATATGCTTAAGAATATCCCTGATAAGATAAAGAAATCCAGAGGACTTTGTAAACCACCAAGATGTCACAGGGTAGTACCCGGTCTATTTTCTAGGCAGCAGAAGAGGGACTAATGTTTTGTTCTGGCAATTTTCTTCAGGAAGCCCTGTGAGTACTACAGTACTGAAATTCTAAGATTCTAGTGCCAGCAGAACTGTGACTGAAAATCTCACTTTAAATTTGTGAGGGTTGTAACAAAGGTTGGCTTCTTCAACCCTGCCATCAGCTAATCTCCTTGCCTGCGACAGACATCTAAACCAGAAAACCACCAGCCCTGGCCAACTCTGGAGGCCGGGCCACAGGAAATAAGCTCTGAGGGCCTTTTTGAGCTGTGCCCAAACCTCAGAAGGCAGGAATGTGGGAGAAGCAGACCGGGCTTGAGGAAGCTTTGACGCAAGGCACCACGATCATAAGGGTGAGGGGACCTATACAGGTTCTAGCTGACAGGAAGAGAACCTTCTTGAGGCACCACAGAGCAGGGCCTGGAAGACAACATCTCTGTGGCAAAGTAGACACATTTGGGAGTTAAAGAACAAATCATTAGAAAAGAAATTAGTTTACTCTCTCAAAACCCAATCCAATGTCTTAAAACTTAGAGGGAGTAACCCTGGGTAGCCTGGGGGTTGGGGGCTGAAGTCTGTGCAATGAGCTGCATTTAGCTGAGTCAAGGAGGAATGCTGGTCGTGAAATCAGCACAAACATTGTGGCGACTGTAGTTAAGGAGAAAAGGAAGTTCAAGGCTGGAGGAGGAGGAGGCCTCTTGGAAGAGAAGAGGAAATAAGGGACAACTGTGAAATGTGCCTCCTTTATTCTGGAACAAGTGGCACTTGCACGGGCTGGAGAAGGCTCGGACTCTGCTCTAGCTGCAGTAATACTGCATCCCATCCACTCTTCTTCTCTTTTTTGACTGAAATTCTTCGAAGAACTGTTGGATATCCTCTCTCTTAACAACCTGTTACAAAAAGCAAAGGTTAGGAACAGGAATGACAGCACAGAACAGCAGCAGCATCTCCGTATTCACAAAGGCTACTGCTAAGGATCACGGAGCAGCCTGCACCGGGAGACTGGCCTGTCCAGGGTCTTGCCACACTCGGCGAGACATCCTAGGGGTGCAGAGGGCAGGCTCTGCCATCTACCTCGGCTTCCTCATACAGAATGAGATCAAAACGGCGCCCTTCTAGCAGGGTCATTTACAGACCAGGTGATGGTGTAGTTCCTTAAAACACCACCTGGCACAGGGTAGGTTCTCGATAAAGATTAGTGGAAATGGGAAATAGCAGTCAGGTAAGGACTGGAACACAGACGTCTCTAAGACATTGCACGCACCTGTTACTGCAGCTGTCTTCCTGCAATGTCCCTCAGGTCGGGATAAGCACCCACAGAAAACAAAGCCTAAAGTTTTGCTTTGAGATTTGTGCTTCCTTTGTAACCAAAAGCAAAACCAAACAAATAGAACCAAAAAAACCTTTCTGGGCCCTCCCTGGTGGCGCAATGGGTTTTGACACAACCAGCCAGCTGCAACCCCTTCAGTGTGAGTTCGCTCCCCACCCCGGATGTGACCCACATGGCGCGGAAGACCGCTCCTGACCCGCCCACTGCTCCCCTCACCTCTGGCTTATACCTCAGTGCTGTATGCATAAATTAAGTAACAATCTATTTTTAAAAAAGATTTATTTATGCAAACAGAACTGGGGTTCAGGCCAGAGGTGCCAGGGCGGTGAGAGGATTCACTAAAGATGGAGTGGGGAGCAGAACAGGCCGATCAATGAAGTACGCTGCTGAGGGGAGTAGCGGGCAGGTCAGGAGAGGTCTGCCACGCCATGTGGGTCACCTCCGAGGTAGGGATCGAACCTGCACTGAAGCGGCTGCGCTGGCTTGCAGTGCTCTAAACCGTTATGCCACCAGGTAGGGCCAAATAAATAAATATTTAAAAAAACAAACAAAAAGCACCTTTCTAATAGCAAAATTAATGATGTTTGCTATATAAACAGAAAACAATTGTTAAAAACTAGTTTTTGTTTTTTCTTTTTTAAGATTTTTGCTATATAAACACTACTTTTAACAATGGGAATGTCCACTTTAGACTATAAAAGTAAAAAAAATACTCCATTTTGTTGGGAAAAGGCTTGAAGCACCAAGAGTATTTATAATATTAAAAAAAACATTAAAAACAAGAAAATGAAATGATGGAAAAATATAAAAAAGTAAAACTGGGCACCCCTGGAAGGAGTCCCTGCTCATCCAAAGAATGAGTGTGTGCAGCTGATCTGACTTCAAGCTGCCCAGAGGCCATTTCAATTCTTTCTAATTTACTTTTCTTTTTTAAAAACAGATTTATGCATACAAGAGCTGTGGTACAGGCCAGAGGTACCTGCAAGGGTGGGGGGAAAAGATTCCCCAGAGACAGAGCGGGGAGCAGAACAGGTGGATCCACTGAAACGCACTGCTGCGGGGAGCAGCGGGGAGACAGGGAAGATCTGCTGCGCCCTAGGGTCACTCCCTGGCCGGGGATGGAACTTGTCCGCAGTGACTGTGGATTGCTTCACAGTGCCGACTTAACCCCGTGTGCCACTAGGGAGGCCCCTAACTTACTTTAATGACAAATATATGCTACTTATTATGAAAGAATGAGGGTGGGGCAGGGAGGGGGAGAAAGAAAGGACCCGGCTATCCCTGAAGGGGGTGAAGAGAGAAAGCAGAAGGACAAATGAAGCCTCTGGCTCGCTCTCTGCCGGGGTAAGTACTGCAAGAAATGCAAGGCCTCACTAACTTGAGTAACTGTCCTGGGGTGAGATAAGATGCTAAGTAAGCGGCTGAATAAAAGAACTTTGCAATCTGCCAGGACTCTACCAGAGGCCTTAGCTGACAGGCCAGTTTCACAACCAGTGAGGAACTAGTGCCCCCCACCCCCAACAGAGAGAACATGTAGGTGCTAAGACACACCTCCTGGCTCTGCATTGCTGGCTAGTCAGCTTGGAAATTCTGCTGACCATCAGGACACTTGGGAATTTCCAGCAAGAAAGATATGCCCAACTTTGGCTCATAACTGAAAGCCAACAAAAGGAAACTGTCTCTGGCAAGGGTGTTGTGGGAGGAGAGCTAGAAGCAGACTTGAGAGAGCGCAGTCCCTGGCTTCTGGGCCTCCTGAAATGGCCACAGTGCAGAGTAGGAATCCGAGGTCGGGCTGGATGTAGTAGGAAACGATTTTATTTGCTTGTCACAGAAAACTTGTAATTTCTACATTTTATTGTCAGACACAAACAAATGGCAGTTTATCATAGCAGAACACTTAGGATGTGTGTATAAAGATCTAGTTAGCAACGTCAAGGGACAATGATACTTTCTGCCCCCTTACATCATCCCATCAGACATGGAAGCTGAAGAGTGGCTTCCGTGCTAACAAAGGTTCATGCATTGAAAGTCTGAGGACCGTAAATAAAATGGTTTCAAATATGAACGGAAAAGGCAACATAGCTAATGCTTACAGCGCTCATGTGCCATAAAGCTAACAAAGAGCACTGACTGCAGGCTGCACAGCGCAGGGGCGAGAGGCTGTGCTGGCTCCTCTGAAGCTCTCCAGCTCCGCCACGGGGCAGGGGCGGGAAGAGTCGCTGGCACACGTCAGTCTGCTCTACTGGTCTCCAGCTCCCGCTGAGACTTCCGGTGGAAACCACACAGCCTGACTCAGCAACGTGGCTACCTTAAGAAACCAGGTATCTGCAGCTCTGACAGCAGCCAGCACTGTCGCCTTCCCTCAGGAGACTTTGCCCACCAACCACGAACATCACGAACTTAAGAAGCAGCTCAAAGTTTCACAGCAAAGGATCTAAACTCAGCCCAGCTCCCTGCCTGATTCTCCGCCCCAGCTCTTGATTCCTACTCAAACAACCGCACCCGCCAGCTTCCAGGACAGCCTGATTACCTCTCTGGTAGACACACAGGCTCTGTACCTGAGAAGGTATGCTTTGCAACAGAAACATTAACTGTAATTTAAGAGCTGTGGGAAGTAGGAAGATGACTCTCATTCAGATAAGTTTACCACGACGGTGAGGAATTATTTGAAAAATGAGGAAACCATTAAGACTATAAGCTCTGTACAATTCATTTGCAGAGAAGCAGCACTTGGATTGTGACCCCAATCCAGACATTCAGGCAGGGAGTTCTTCCCGCATCTGAGAGAAGAAAATGACCCAAAGGCACTTCCTGAGTGTCTGTCAGATCCCTGTCGGACTCCATCTGCACATGTGGTCTGCTACAAAAAAGCAAAACACTCACTTGAGTTCAGGGCAACCTCCGGCCATGAAAAGAAGTTTTGTCTTATAGCTACCTTTGGAAGATGAAGTATTTCAGACATAAAATGAGATTGCCGCAACATATGAAGGGTTTGGAGATACCTGCAAATTTATCTGGGTGACTATTTTAAAGCTTGCCACATCTAGAATCACGTCACCCTAAAAAAGTGCCTTGACCATTTAACTAGCAAGAGGGCTATTTTAACCCCTACTGGACAAAGCTTTCTACTTAAACTCTAGAACCCAGAATACCAGAAAAGGGGTCTGGTTGTAACTGCTTCCTGACCTCTGCCTGAGCCAGGCTGACCGCTGTGTAGTCCAACCCGAACTCCAGTTGCGCCTACAGCTGGGGCTGCCTCTTCCGGCCTAGGGACGAGGACTCCAGCGGGCCAGCCTGTCGGCGTCACCGTTTCTTACTCGGTTCCTTCAGCCCTTCCTCTAGTAAGTGCTCAAGTGTCCAATGTCAGATGCACAAAGACTTTTTTTTAATCAAAGAAAATACTTTCTTCAAACATTTACAGGGCTATGATTAAAAACCTTTAACTCAACCTACCGTGCCTTCATCAGCAAATCTCTTGAGATAGTCTTTAAGTTCAGTCTTCAAATCATTGTATTCTAATTGAAAATAACAAAAAAAGGTACTTAACTTTAGATGGACCATTTGCTTTTAGGAACAAAATATTTCTTTACCACGTTAAGTAAAATTAACAGTTTACAGTTTACATTTTTCTCAGTGAAACCTGTAGAGAAATTTGTCCCCAAGTTCTCCCATAATCCTGCATTGGGACCTCTTTCTAAAATTCTCAAAAATCATGCATATTGTCACTCCCCAAAATATTAAAGAATTAAAAAAAATCCCATTTCTCTGAATTCCAAGACTTTTTATTGTCTTAAAGTATTACACTTTAAAACTTTCATTGAACAGTTTGTTGAGGGCTACAAAAACCTTTTAAATGTAACTTCCATCCTCAAAAAGCTAGTCTGTAAAAGACAAAAGGTATAAATAAAAACCAGAAATGCTCATACCATAAAAGGGGCACATACGTGGCAGTACCCAGAGGAATGGAATGGAAATCATTAAACTAAGTTGGCATGCAGGGGGACGTAAAAGCCTGCAGTTAAAGGTCTGGGGATATTTTCCCCTCTAGTGGTTTCATCTGAAACACCAAAGCAACCTCAAGAACTGTGTCATGACCTCCTTGGTGGCACAAGGGTTGAGGTCACAGCACTATGAAGTTATCTGCAGCCACTGCAGCATGAGTTCGATCCACAGCCAGGGAGGTGACCCACATGGCACAGCAAACCTCTCCTGACCCGCCAGCTGCTCCCGTCAGCAGTGTATTTTTTTCAATCATTCTGCCTGTTCTGCTCCCCACTCTGTCTCTGCTGAATCTTACCATCTCCCACCCCTCTGGCCTTGCATACATAAAGAAATCTTTAAAAAAAAATTGATTTTCTATTATTCTTTACTCAAAGATTTACCCTTAAACACAACTGTACACGTGGTTTCTCAAGCATGTAATTACTCCCAGGCACCTTGACTCAGTGATTACAGCAGCAGCTAGACTCAGAACATGACAATAAGCAAGGGAGCTGAGGCCTACTCTCCCGTTCCAAATTCGAACCTGTGTATGAAATTAAAACAACAGGTACCAGTCGTCTCTCTTACTCAGGTTTTTTAATAGGGAAGGCAATTTCATGAACTTCATGGCCAACATTTCCATGAACATTACTTACCGCAAATCAGTTCCACTTGCTGGACTCTGTCCATGCTGTTGAGAGTATCCATTAAAGGGTCTCTCCTGTCTGCGGCCTCGTCTACCTTGCCCTTGTTTTCATAAGCTACAACTGTGTCATGCTCATCTGTCAGGAACAGCACGTCCAGGTCGCCATACATTTTCTTTAAAAAATAAAACCAGTTTCCCCATTAGAACAGATGTCATACTCAGAAAGTCATGAAAACCATTACAAATTTATTTAATATTTTAGATCAACAGCTGACAAAGCTTTGAGTCTTATAGCACAGCTTGAATGATTTAGTTTTCTTTGCTCAAATCACTTTTAGCAATCTCCAACTTCCCAAAGATACGGTATGTTTATGAAGTCTTTAAAAACCTCCGAGTTCCTGTAAGTTTCAAGCAATTTGTGTTCCTAAACAATTCTGATTAAAAATATATAAAAAATGCTATTTTTCCAATAAAAATATTGCATAATTCTTCATTTCTCTCACAAGCATTGGACTACAAATACCACTTCATCAAATTGCTTAAATGAGAACATTTTAAAGTTCTCTGCACCCCTAGCATCAGCTTCATAAGTACACTTTTCAGGCCTCTCTGTGTTAGGGAACATAAACAAAACAGCAGCAATGAGTCTCAGCAGGTCCTTACCATACAGTCCTGGCACACACACAGCTTGCTGCGCCAGTTGTAGGGCCAATAGGTGGCAGTGTCTTTCCTTACAATTTGTTTAGCTTTAAGCTCCTGAAGTTTGCAGCTAGATTGCGATTCTGTGTTGACATGCTCATTCTTAAATGATGTCTGAAATAAAATTAAGCTTTGATGTATGTTTTATAAAATAGCACAGTTTTCATAGTTAGATTTTATAAAAGAATTTCAGCAAAGGGGACAATTGAGATCTGATTAATCCAACTGAATTGATTTGCTTAAGTTTTATTTCTTCTTTTTATGGCTCAAACTTTGTTACCTGGAGGTAAGATTCCGAACTAGAACTGGTACATGGTTCGTTAGTCTGCTCTGCTTTAACTTGCTTGACAACATCTTTCCCATGTTCTAGAACATCCTCTTTGAGGGTACTAGCTTGATGAGCTCCATTTTCGGGTTTGGTAACTTCCTGATCACCTGTCCCATCAACATTCAGCACCAACCCATCATCCTCTGCAGGTACTTTGGTGACTGTGGGTTCAATGAAATACACACACACACACACACACACACACACACACACACACACAGACCTATTAGACAATGAAATCACTTCATCTGATTAAAAAACACTTCAGAGGCCCTCCCTGGTGGCACAGCGGGTTAAAGCACAGCACTGAGAAGCTAAAGCCACTTCTGTAAGAGTTCGATCCCCACCTGCCCCGGAGGTGACCACATGGCATGGCAGACCTCTCCTGACCCGCCTACTGCTCCCCTCAGCAGTGTACTTCATCCATTGCCTGTTCTGCTCCCCACTCTGACCCTGGTGAATCCTCTCGACCTCCGCATCTCTGGCCTGTACCCCATGCACAAATAAATAAATCTTAAAAAAAAAAAAAAAACAAAAACAACACTTCATAATCTAGAAAAAGGTAAAAGTCAATCTTAGTCCTTGGAGTAATAAAAAGGTAACATCAATGATGTTTTAGGTTATACCTGCTTAAATCAAAGAGTCCAAATAATTGAATAGTTTATGTAAAAAAAAATCAATTGTTGTGTAAGCACTTTATATGTAAAGGAGAAAAAAAACTGTAGATGTTGAAAAGACATGAAATAACTCACAAGATGGTAGGAAGAGATTCATCTGAAAAGACGGGTAGAATGGTAGTTCTGAAGAAACAACCAATCTTTTTTTTTTTTAACAAGAGGAAGAAATCAAAAAGTATGGATGTAGAAGAAGAAATACTGTAGAGAGAGAAGAAAAATGATAAGGGAGCTTATGTTGCAATGATTGTATTTCAATTTAGTAGATGAGGCCACCTATTGTCAGGGAAGGAAATGGAGGAGAAAAGGAATCAACTAAGAAAAACCAACGAATGAGAAATACAGTGGTCCAGTGAAAAGTGGGGATTGTAACTGCAGAAAGTATGAGGGTACACTGAGTTTAAGGACTCTGAGACAAATCAATGGTGTAGGATGAGATCCATAGGTATAGCTACACGGCTTGCGACTGTATAGTGAAATGCTCCCTACTGGTAAAAACAAAATATGAGGCCAGAGAATCAGAGATATGAGTAACTATCACTTTAAAAATGAGTAACATATATTGCATTACCAATAAAATATCTAATGCCTTAAGATCTTTCATTGTTGGTAGTTGTTGTAGGGGGTTAATTTCTTGTGCAGAATAAAAGCACTTGATAAACTGTCCCATCATCCCTCCCCAGTCAAAGCATATCTTACATTTAAGAACAAGTTATTTTGGTTCTTTTCATACAGTCAAAAGAGCCATCCTATAACCTGTCATTCCAACCACACCCTATCAGGCCATTTAAACACAAATTGCTCTTGGTAGTAACCTTTCAACCAATTTATAAGCATGTTATGGAGTAGGAACATATGTTACTCTTTTTTTCTGAACTTAGAGATAAAAATAGTTGCTTAAAATTTTGGACTGAACATACATTTTCACCAGCATGATTTTGTGGCTTGTCAGGTGTCCACAAAGATACCTACCTGCCCATTGTGCAGCATAAGCCCACAAGAAAGAGCAGCGTTTCATGCAAGCCTGACACACCATCTCCTGGAAATCCCCACTCTCAGGGGGAATGGCACCAAGATGCTGTGGATACAGAAATCCGAACATTTTCCTTGTGATCTTCAAGTTAGCCAAAATGCTCATTACTTTATAAACACTGAAACAGTACAATGATCATATCTTTATAGTTAATTTTTAGAAAATAATAGATTTTCCTTATAGTAATAATTTTTATATATGCAAAAGCTACACATTTATAAATATATATAACTAGTGATACATGTAGCTTTTACATATCTCTTCTGAAGGCAGTGACTTTAAAAATCAAAAATTTTCCTTACCCTTCCATGAAACCAATCTTCACAGACTATACATTGGATCATCTCATCTGGAATCTAACATGGAAAAGCATGTTTATTAATGCTATGTGACATAATTATAGAGTCAGTAATGATAAGAGTTATGTGTGTTAATACAGTGAATTTTGTGAGATAAATCTAGCACATATTAGAATTGGATGTTAAATAATTCCCTGTTCATGTTCCTATAGTTAAGGGGTCAGGGAGAAATAATAGCCAGATCAGGAGCCAAAGAAGTTTATTCTGCATGAACAGGTATTGCAGAAGGGTTATGCTAAGATAAACACTTTACAAGCAATTATGAAAGTAAAACTCTTTATGTTGGTTTTTAAGATCTGATTCTCACGAACTTTAGAAATAAGCACTGTATTCTCATTTTATACAGAAACCCAGGCCCAGGGAAATAATGCGAACTGAACAGTGACTGTGACTACTGGGGCTTGACTGTGTCTTGTTGCCAGGTAACGAAAAGCAAATATTACAATCTCTTCCTAATGTGGACAGAAACAGCTTCTCCAATGTAAGTAATTAGATTCTGGTCCTAGGAAGTTTATATACTTACGGGCATAAGACTATTTTTTGGAATGGTTTTCCTTTTATTTGCAGGCTTTCACATCTACGGATACTCCAATGTTTGACATTTCCCTGTTTGTTTTTTTTAAGATTTATTTGTTTTTTGTGTAGAGGTACTGGGGTACAGGCCAGAGGTGCCAGGGTGGAAAGGATTTACCAGACAGTGGAGAGCATAAAAGGCAAATCCACTGAAACACCCTGCTGAGGGGAGCAGAGAAGAGACAGGATGGGTCTGCTGCGCCTGGTGGGTCAGTGCCTTGGCCGGGGATCAGACTCAGTGAGAGCACTGAGACTTACTCCTAGGCCACCAGGGAGGCCCTGTTCCTGTTTTTAAAAGAAAATAAAGCACATATGCATGTGTGTATATATTTACACACACACATATATAGTAGTCTCATTCTTCTGCCTTGCTCAAATTATTATTTTTTGATTCAACAGAAGTTAATGTACCTTACCAATTTTTAAGGTTTTATCTTTGTAATTCAAAGATATCTTAGATTTATTCCTCTATATAATGTGGTTCAATAATTATAGTTCCAAGGCAAACAGAAAGAGGGAAGGAGGCAGAGACCAATTTCTCTAAATATAAAAATCATCCATTCTATTGTAATATACAAATTAATAAGAGGCAAACAAAATCCAATCAAAAACATGGGCCAAAAGATAATTCAGAGAGACGGTGAATACAAATGTCCAATAACCTCATGGAAAGATGTATAACCTTACTTATGATCAGAGAACGGAAAACATTTTTAAGTTAATGTTCTTTATCAGAATGCCAATATTTTAAGATTGGTAATATGTAGGATTAACAAGAATATTGGGGAAAAGGACACTTACATACTGTTGGTAGCTGAACTTTTTCAGTAGATATGATCACAATTTTTTTTTTTTTAATGCATACAAGATCTAGGGTGCAGGTCAGAGGTGCAGAGGGTGAGAGGATTCACCAGAGACAGAGTGGGGCGCAGGAGGACTGAAATACATTGCTAAGGGGAGCAGTGGGCAGAACAGGAGAGGTCTGTCATGCCATGCGGTTCACCTCCCTGGCTAAGGATTGAACTCATGCTGTAGTTCCTGGGGCTAGCTTCACAGTGCTTTGCCTTAACCAGTTGAGTGACCAGAGAGTGCTCATAATCACAATTTTTAATTATAAACATCCTCTGACCCATCAATTCTACCTTGAGATGTCTGTTCTACATAAATGCAGGAGTCTATTGTTATACTGCTGTATAAAGATGGTCTCTGAAGCGTTCTTTAAAATGCTAAAAAGGGCCCCCCCTTGTGGCACAAGGGGTTCACATGCAGCACTATGAAGCTCTCTGCACCGCCACAACATGAGTTTAATCCCTCCCCAGGGATGTGACCCACATCGCACAGCAGGCTCTCCTGACTCGCCTGCTGCTCCCCTCAGCAGTGTGTTTCAGTCCATCTGCCTGTTCTGCTCCCCACTCTGTCTCTGGTGAATCCTCTTACCCCCCTACCTCTGCCCAGTTCTTATATGCATAAATAAATAAACCTTTAAAAAAAGGCACTAAAACATTAGACAATGCCATTGTGCTTTAGAAAAGCATTAAGGTAACTAAATTTAGGGCAGTATCAAATATGGACTGTTTTTCTGTGATCAAAACACAGTGCTTGTATTGTCTGACATGGATATCTGATATACTAATTAAGTGAGAAAAGTTACAAAACTGGATGTAGCAAATTTTCACTTCTCTTAAAATTACAAATTGAAATACATATTCACTCAGTCTTATATATGGGGAGAAAAAGCTCTAAAAATATATACACCAAAAAGTATTAACAGTGGTTATATCTGCGAGATAAGGTTCACTGCAAAAGTGAGGACGAAAAAAAAAAACCTCTTTTTAAATATTGTGTATATGCCTACCTAAAATTTTAAGATTCAGTGTGTACATTCCATTTCTTTCCTTCCAGGAAGGCAAGAAGTTAAAAGGTCAGTTACAAAATTATTCAGGGGAGTAGAACAGGCAGGCAGGCAGGCAAAAAGAGAGGAGGGGGAGGAGCCAACTCTTGGAGAAGGGCGGCCCAGTATTTGATTCTCATCATATAAGAATGAGAAAAAATAACTGGTCCTTACCAACTATAGCTCCAGCTCAGATTCATAAGAGATAAATCTAAACTCCTCTCATAATCCCCAAGTTTCCCTTGAATGACCTCAGAGATCTGGAAATGAGTTCTTGGGTAGGGCCCTCTAACAAGCTCACCTCATCTTCGGGATCAGGATAAGGTCGCTTGCAAGTGCAGTATAATCCAAAAAAGTTGTCATTGTACTTATTGCCAGGGTTTATCTTTGCCTTGTCCTGAAATACATTAATTTCAATTATAGCATGCTCTAATTTTAAGTATGATTTCATGCATCATGAAACTTGTGCACTCAATAAATTTATGCATTAAATATCTTTAGAAGGTGATTTTAAATTCCAAAGGAGAAAGAACAGCAATTCTCTCCTACTAAAGGGATACTTTTTCCAGGATACAGATAAAAAATAAATTTTATTTTTTTTTTGTGAGGAAACCAAGTATATACATTTAAGAAAAGGTGATAAAAGTTAATTATAAGTATTAATTATAAACCCATATATACTGCTATTGGCCCCAAATTTCAAAGGCCCCGCTGTGATAGCCAAAGCCTCCAGGTTATTAGCAGGTAAAGTAGCAGGCAAGAAAGCCATCTCAAAATAACTTTCAAAGGAGGTGCAATTACAACTGAACGATAAAATTACTTATTTCACTAAAAGTAATAATGTAAACATACTTTTTATTAGCCAAAAAGCAATGAAAAACTACATTCATTATTACCAAAAGCAATGAAAAACTACATTCATTATTACCAAGTTGTGTTTATTCAGTATTTAAAATCATACCTTTTGCGTTAAAATCCTCAAAGCATAAGCATAACCAATAATTATTAATTAGAACGAAATCATTTTAAGAACATTTCCCCTAAAGTTGTTATATTAATTACAATCTATAATGTAGGCTCTGAAAAGATTACATAGATTCCCAAAAAGGTAAAAAAAAGGTATACAATTTAATATTGACTTGCCCATTTGTAAACAATAAGGATAAAAATCTCCTTTTGGAAAATAGTTGGCTTTTACCCACTAGAGCAAGGATCAATTTCATTTACAGTGTTTACTTACAGGAAATAATTTGCATTCCATATTTTTAAACTTGCTGTTACCACAATCACAACGAAAATTCCTGAAACAAAGGAGGAAGAATCCATTTTAATTTAATT